GCCAGTTTGTCCCCGTATCTGTAAGAATAATAATGTTGAGTTCTCTCCCTACACTTCTTCAGAGGAGGATTTAACACAGATCAGCTGTTATGGTCCTGTCGTCTTCATTATCAACCGTACTAGAGATTAATAAAATCCGTTGAAGGCGCTAAACTCATTTTTGTCAATGAGCACCTTATCGTTTCCCCCCCTTGCTGCCCCTTAACTTTTTCTCTCCCTCACCTGCTCCCCCTTATCTTTACCCTTAATCACCTACTGCCGTTCCTCCTTCCCCTTCCTCTCCTGTTGCCCTTCTTCACCTGCTGGCCCTCATCCTTCCCCTTCCTCACCTGACCATCCCCCCCACCCCCCACACCTCGTCTGCTGCTCCTCTTTCCCCTTCCTCACCTGCTGCCCCTTAACCCCTGTCCCGTTTCCTCCTGCTGTCCCTTCTGCTTCCCTTCCTCCCCTGCTGTCCTTCAACCCCAGCCCCCGCTGGCTGCGCCCCAAGGACGAAGACCACCGCGCCATCTGGGAGAGGTCCGTTCGCCTCCGTCCAGCTGGTAATATCGTCCACGGTCAACTCAGCCAATGGATTCTTCTTCGCCTTCTCCTGGATGTCCAGCACAACACCTTTAAAAAAATATTTATTTCTATATATTCGAAAAGTGTCTCCTTATATATTATTTATTCGTTTTTTACTGCTTTTTTCCCCGGCAGTACTCACCTGGACCCATCAAACGCGACAGAGGAATTTCATCAACGTGCCACCTGTCTTTGAAGAGGTGTGCCGGTGAATCGAGGTGCGTCCCAGCGTGCTCGGCCAAACAGATGTTGTTAGACTCATACCTTAAACGAATAAACTTACACGATTATGAGAAGAAAAAAACGAACGAAATATACAAAACAGGGATTCCTCTCCCTCTATTCATTTGCTTGAGAATACGCGGAAACTACCCTTTGAAAGGTATGAAATATAACAGAATGATTGCTGGGTAAATCCTAAAGCAAATAGTATACATGGATATATGCGCAGATTGTCTGCTAGTCATCAATTTCTGTGACCAGCCCCCCTGAGGATGACCTGCAGTCCTGAAAGACAAACATCCTTCGGTAAAGGACAACAGGATGGAGCGTATCACACAGGTGTATAGCCTTCATCCTGTAGTGCATATGTGGAGGATGTTTGTCTTCCGGGACGGCAGGTCACTCGTTGGATGACGATTCGTCGACATTCCACTTCTGTTTCATGTTATTGGTTTTCCTTCATGTTGCTTCGGAATTTACCTACAGTACTTCATACCTTACGTTACTATTGATGCTCAGTTTGGAAGGGTTTAGTGGTATTCCCCGTTATAATGCTACTGTATATGAATGTTGGAGGATGAATGGTATCCGTCGGCATCTAATACTGTAGCATTTGACGACGCAGCCGCAACTGGATACCTGCCCACACATGCCAACATTAATGTGACGCCTTCCATCTCTCTCTCAATCTCACTCACATATTTATTTACACAGATACATGCATGTCTGCACACATGCTTGTATATATTCACATGTATAGACATACACATGGATGTTTACACATACATGTATACATTATCTAAATATATATATATGTATCAATGTATGAACATCATATATGCATAGTCGTTACCTGAAAAATATATTGTCGATATGTAAAATTTCTTGAAATTTAGTCCTACTTTCATATCTATCGAGTTTTGAAATCAACGGTCTAATGAAGCATTATATAAATGCTTTTAAACGGACAAGGGTATCTAAAAACTTGCTTCTATGCTTTCAGCCAACTATGGTTAGCATTCCTGAATTTATGTGCTCTGTTCTGTAAATGACCTTATCTGCACTGCACACTTTCGCTCTTAGATAAAACTTACCAATATCCTTCTGCTGTTTCTCCTTTGGCAACCACTTCAACAGTTACTGGCAAAACTGTTGGCCAGTGCATAGTATCGTTGTGCAGACTGTGACTCAAATCCACGTAGGTGAGACTGAGACATTCACTGAATAACATGACTAAAATGATGTGAAGAAGAGCCATTTTTCCAATAATTTTCGGCTATTTTTCTAGGTACTTTGCTATGGACACGGAGACTGTTTTACGACTGAGTACTATTACCTTGAACGAAAAATCGAGATGCTAACTAGTAAATTGAAGGAAAGATCCAGTTGCCAATTGCCTCCTTTGCAAGATGTGATGTTACTGCATGCTGTACACTTTACTCATTCTCCGGGTATCCTATAGCTGGCTACCATGTAAAACATTTGGGAAGAGTATAAAAAAAAATAGAAAAAAATGAAATAGCACCACTAAAGGCGTTCGTTTCAACTGACAGCGTTAGGATAACATCCCCGTGTCCCCTAGGAAGCAACTTTCCATATCTGGACGGTCAGAATCGGCCACCGACACGGACCGTCATCGCAACAGTTTGGGCATCTGATCTTTTATGTGTGTGTGTGTTCTTGCCCTGTGGCTTTAGTTTTACGAGCTCTCGTTTTTGGATATCTAGAACCTCTCCTGTGCCATGCGTTGGTTCATGGTTGCTGAGAAAAGTGATCTTGGGGCATGATTCAAGCACCTCGGCTGTGTGATAGCCTGCCATATCTGTTCACCTACAAAGAGACAAGTTGGGGTAGTAAACATTGGTCTCCCCCTTTGATCACAAGGTATTGTGCTGCTTCTCTCTATCTCTCTCTCTCTTACTAATATATATATATATATATATATATATATATATATATATATATATATATATATATATATATATATATATATATATCCCTCCCCCGCCTCTCTCTCTCTCTCTTTTTTTCTCACCCACTCACGCACGCACACGCACACACGCACACACATTCACACACACACACACCAGGGAGTCTTGTTTGTTCTTACAGGGCCTCTTATTAAATAAGTGGAGGTTTTGACTCTATTGGTTTTATGCTGGTCCTCAGTAATATCTATCCGTCCTTGACGCACGTCCTTGTAGTCCTCATTCAGGTCTTCCTCGGCGGCGTCCTCGGCCAGACGTCCTCGTCGTTCCCGTCCAGGACTTTCTCGGCAGCGTATTCATACCGAAGTTCTCGTATTCTGCGTCTAGTTCTCCGGGCGTCCAAGGTGGCGGTCTTCCTTCTCTGGCATCCTATGGCGGTTGGTATCTCCACTGACGAGCTCCTGGATCTTGACTGAACCTGCAAGTGCCAAGGCAGCCGGGCCTCCTCTACGGCCTCCTAGGACGGCTGGAACCTGTGCTGACGTGTTCCTGGTCCTTCGTTGGATCTATGACCGTCCTGGCGTGCTCCTCTACGGCATTTTGGTACCTGCACGGACGAATTCATGGTCTGCTGGCTATACGGGCTGGTATCTGCCGGATATGTTCGCTTTAAATACGTTGTCAAGCTTCTAAGCCAAGGTCATACACACAAGGGCCAAGAAAAGTAAAAGCGGGGGTATGCTAAATGTGCATTACCCTAGCTGTTATTTTTATTTTAGTTTTAATTGTATTTTTGACATTTTTTTTACACTCACTTGTTTTTACCAAAGATAAAACGGAAATGGAAGATGGAGGCGGAAGTAGCGATTAGCAAGAGCCTTTAGTCACAAATTGTTCCAGATAGATAAGGGAAAAGGTGGCGGCAATCCGCTAGAGAGTACCTGTACCGGTAGCCGTTTCTGGTAGACAGAGAAGAAAAATTGAACATTTTAATTTTCTTTTTTAGTATTTCTTTGTAAGAAAGTAAAAAAGAGAGACACTGATGGCAATCCGCTTGGATTTAAACGATCTTCTAGCCAAATCAGATAGGCAGAGAAGAACGCAGCAAAAAGAAAATTGGATCATGTTGCAAAATGAACAACGAAGGGAAGAAGGTCTTTTCGCTATATTGCTTCTTCAGAGCAAGTGCCTCGGAGATAGCCTGCCACATCTGCTCACCTACAAAGAGACGAGATGGGGTGGTGGGCCATCGGCATATTCGTTTGTTTTATTTTTCTCCCCTGCGTCGTTCCTTTTTACAATTTGTTCGACATGAATTCCGAAAGTGTGGATCATAAACTATTTCTTCGTCACGACTAACAAAATCGCGGACAACCTACAGTACACGTCAGAACTTAATGTAACCACATCATCAATATTTACGCCTACAACAACACAAACACTGTTGAGGAAATGTTGTTTAGTGTCTTTTACTCTGCATGAATGAATGTGAGTGCGGGTGAGTGATCGCACTAAGAATAACTCACAAACATGGATTAACGTTCATATTAACAATGCAATGGAAAGCAAATGTCATTAATGCAATAATAAACGTAGCAGTCTTTGGTCACTGATGCAAACCGAATTCTTGTCTATTATCTCTGAGCTCTAATAAAAGGCCCTATCACACTAGCACTTTTGCCGTCAATTTTTTGCGCTTGCGAATGAACTCCGTATGAAATTCATGTAAACAAACATGGCGCTATCGGAGTGAGGTCACGGATATCACACGAATATTCTCATACATATTACGTTATTTTAAAGAAATGTGATGATGGATATTGTATATACGAATGTTCTAAAATATTAGCTTATGTTTACATTCACTCACCCTATCTAATTTATTAATAGCACAAGATCAACACGGAAATTAGTCAGACGGAAACGGTCGTAACCGTCTTGGTCTGGGAGGCGTTCCGTTCCGTTTGTAGACGATCCTTGCGGAAAGCCTCAAATTCAGACGGAACCCCAGAAATTGACGGAAAAAGTTCTAGTGTGATAGGGCCTTTAATAAGACATGATTGAGTAAAAGAAAGATGCTAGCGCTAAATTCACCGTAGAGGCAATCCATATCAAAATTGCGTTGCAAGCTTCGTCCTGGAACAAACAGGACGAGTTAACAGAAACGGAGCTTCCATTATCCCTTTGGTGTCAACAACGACAAACCACACATCGTTAACGTCTAGCTTCTTTGTATCTCCTCAAGCTTCGAGAGGGATGGAATGAAAGAGAGTGTATGGTCATAGT